TTGCAAATTCCTCTCAAAATAAAGTTTCCTTGCATGACTTCTTGTCCACTTTGTAACTGCTTGAGCTTCTGCTGTCTCCTGCTGTGACTGCTACCTCTGGCTACTTGCTGCTCATAATCTTTTATTTCACCCTTCCATGACTGAAGGTGAGACTTGCCAAGGGGTCCCACATCAAGCCCCAGAAAGTATGATCCTAAGGACTTTGATGTAAAGTCCTAAGGACGCCAAGGATAGGAAAGAAAAAAGGACCAAATCCTGGACGTGTCTAGCTACAAACTATTGCAAGATGCAAGTCTTCACTTTTCCACACAGGAACTGATGTCTGGTAGTTTCTGTGTTTGATAATTGGACTGCTTTATTCTTTCTGCTGCTTCACTCAACTGCCATAGAAGCAAGGCTTGGCCCAGGTTTCCTTGAACACTGAGGGTTTGGGAATGGGGGCTGGGCAGGCCCAAAGTTCCTGGGCATAGAGCCACTTCACAAACTTGGGGGATGGGCAGGGGCAAGGGCAATCTACTAGTTGTTTGTGCCAGTGCACCTCGGGCAGCTTTGCAGAGCTTGCTTGTCTAGCTTGCTTTCTGGGGCTGGAGCTATGCTATTAAAAGTCAGGTCGTCTCCCTTCTGTTTATGCTTTCTTTTGACCTCACCCTCTGCTCAGGGTGGAGGCCTCCTGCCTGGACCCTAGGGAAAAATTAGTCTTCACTAATAGGCACCCTAGGACTTATGTTGACGTCAGCATTTAGGGGTGGACATGGCTTCAGGGAGGAAGCTTCAAATCTCCAGAACAGGAGCGCCAGCCCTGCCCTTGCCTCCCCTCCCTGATGATTCAGGGACGCAGTGCCCTTCCCTGAGGAGCCGGTTTAAAACCCAGCTAAGGCAGGGTGCCTGTTTACTCAGCAAATAAGGCAGGAAGTGGCCGCTGGATGCTGCCACAGGCCACTAGCCTCATCAATTATTAACTATGTGTGAGCTAGAATAGTCAGAGAGACTGGAAAAAAATGGCTGCTAGCTCTACTCTCTTTGTCCTCGGCTATGGGAGACCTGATGTGCTTCCGCCCAGAGGTCATGAACTTGGCAAACCTGCCGAGCTAGGCTACACTGACTAAGCAACCCACCCTGGGAATGAATGACAAAAAGAACTAATTGACTGTGCTTTCAAGGGGACCCTGGCCAGTTCTTGGCAGGCAGAAACCAGCTCAAGCTGGGGGCTCTCTAGTTTGGACTAAGGCAAGCTTAAAGACCTGCCTGCTGTCAAGCAGCCAGATCTCAAGAGGTACATCTGCCTCCTGACATCATACCAGTCCCTCTTCCCGGGCTATTCCCTTAGAAATAGCAACCAGACAGTTCATTCTTCCTTCCCTCCAGACACATTGACCTAAAATCCACACGGTATATTTTCACTTTATTCTCCTGTTTATATATTTGCCTGCTCCCAGATTTGGAGGCAGAACATGATGTACACTCAGCAGCCCAGCTCTGAGCCATATTTTCTGTTTCACTTTCTCCCAACTCGCCCTTGGCTGCTTGCCTAGGTACTGGGATAAGGGAGCAGAGCATACAAGGACCCACCACCCTTGCCCCAGCTCTAAGACATCCTGAGTAGAATGAAAGGAGTTCCGATGAGGGGTAAGAGCTGCTTCGAGGTCATAAGGTCATCATCCCAACATGCCCACTGATATTATCAGATTTGGGTGGTATGCTGGCCAGGAGCTGGTGGCTGCAATGCCTCCAACTGACTGAGGATGACGGGAATGTGAGGGCGCTGCTGGGGGTCCACAGTCATCATAGAGGCCAAAAGCTGCCGCAGTGCTGAAGAATGCCTGTGGGAGGTGGAAGGCAGAGGACTGGAGGACACTTGGAATTGCTAAGATTCCAACTTGGCTGACTCTAGGCAAGAGTCTATAATGCTTGGTATCCCTCTTGCTGCTCACCTGGAGCTTTGTGGAATGTTGAGTTCATTCTGCACAGCAAGAGCCACACTGTCACCCTTCTGGAACACCATATCATAAGGGCCTTCCCCAAACATCATGGCATAAAGCACACAGCCTAGGGACTGAGAATAATTTGGTTAGTTTCTGGTAGGTGTAAAGTGGCATCTCGCTCCTTCTTGCTCTGGTAAAAATAGACCATGTAAGCTAAAAATATGCCAACCTCACCCAGAGGAACTGTTAGCAGGAGGCCTCTGCAGCCCCCAGTTTAACTACTGCCTCCGGCAGTTCAGCCACAGAGATTGCATGGCTTCCTGAGAACAGTACTGGTGATGGTTCCCAGGAAGGAAGTGGAGGGTATGGAGACATACTGTGGTTCTGGGGTTCCATGCAACAGACACCAAAGGTCTCCTTCCTATTAGTTCATAGCAGCTACAAAGCCACACCCCCAGGTTCCCACCCATATGCTCCTCACCCAGACATCAGTCCGCTCATCGATGACACAGTGGCTCTGCACAGAAAAAAGTTCAGGTGCCCGGTAGGAGATGGTGCACCGCTGGGCCGCCCAGTCCTGGAACAGTGTCCCCAGAGCTCAAAAGTGGAGCACAAGCCATATCATGTGACCAAATTGGTGCATGCAGCAGAATGAGGTAGGGATGGGGAGGCGATGGCCAAAGGAGCCTAGAGACTCTCTTACCTGTAGAGCTAGGGCTTGACGTGAGCCCTCCACCTGGATGCAGGCCTGATTCATAGAACCCAAGTCCATTAAAACTGGTTGCCCTTCATCACCAAGCAAAATATTGGTGGGCTTCAGGTCCCTAGAGGAAGTGAAAATGACCCAGAGGCATCCTGGACAGGGAAGCTGAGAGTCCCAGGGAGCACTATGGGGGTAGTGCAGAGAAACCCCAATTCTCTTGGCACTTCTCTTCCCCTGGGCCCTCAGAAAGAGCATAAGGCCTTCCCACTGACCTGTGTGCATAACCTTTGGCATGAATGGCCTCAAGGCCTCTGCAGATACCCAGCAACAACGGAAGGATTTGGTCTTCAGTCAGGAAGTTGCCTTGGTCCTTCAGCCTTTCTATCTCATTCCACAGCGTACCTTTCTACAACACAAGTTTCCCTGTGTGGAGATGTTTCTGAAGCCTCTACTTCCCGGGACTCATCTCTATTCTGTGGCAGCCTGTCAACCCTTTTACCACACATACTCTTATTGATCATCTGAGGCTTTGGGGGGTATCTAGTTCATACAAGACCCGATAGTCCTCTAAGCCCCAAATTTAAAGTGGCCAAAACCACAACATGTGTTTCTGGCGTGTTTATATTTGATCACCCAGAGCCCTTGCTAGGGCTGTTTCAATTCCTTCTGTAACCAGCAGTTGTTCTGACCTTGAAGAAGGGTAGCAGCAGCCAGGCTTCATGCTTAGCACCTCGTTCTTTCAGACAGTAAGCCATGAGGCGAAGGATGTTTGGATGCTGAAAGAGGCGATGCATGTCTGCCTCTCGCTGGGCCTCTTCTTGGTCCTGCTGCTCATGACACAGGATTCGCTTCAGGGCGTAGAAGTGTCCATCATGTAACCCCTCCACTAGGTCCACATAGCTGAACCCACTGTGGGCCAAAGGGGTCAGTGAAGGACTATGGTCATCTCCCACATGGCTTGGACCCAGAGGATTTCCCTTAGGGAGGGGTGCCTCTCACATGGAGTAGAATCCCTCCCAAGATGTGGCTCTCATAGTTTCAGGACTATTGGGGTCTGAGCTCCTCAAGAGCAGGGACACAGAAATCACTGAGGTTCTTTGGTCTGAGCACAAGACAGTCAGTTAATACCAAGTAGCAAAGAGACATTTATCAAGCGCTCATAAGATGTGGCTCTCATAGTTTCAGGACTATTGGGGTCTGAGCTCTTCAAGAGCAGGGACACAGAAATCACTGAGGTTCTTTGGTCAGAGCACAAGACAGTCAGTTAATACCAAGTAGCAAACAGACATTTATCAAGCGCTCATGAGCCAGGCACCGGGTGACACGTTAAAAAATATACACTATCTCACGTAGTTTTCACAAGTCTCTCAATGTAATCATCTCTGTTAGGCAGAAGAAACCACAGTTTACTCAAGGGCACACAAGGTGGATCCAGGAGGCCGGGGTCCAGAATCCACTTTCTTGACCCATTCAGCTAAATAGGTCGGGTGAGACAGAATCTAAGGCAGACCATTGTCCCTAAATGACCTGGGACTACTAGCTAAGTAACTTCCAAACACTCACCCCTCCCCCAATTTCTGGATGAAGAGGTAACGCTTATTGTCAATGATGACAGTCCCCCGGGAGCAGACACACAGTGCGTGACCCATAACGTCTCAGTCATCCTCTTCAAGGATGGTTTTTCTTCCAGGGAAAGTGGGCTCTTCCAGGCGATGGGCTGGCGGACCTGCGGATCATGCTGGAATGAAAACAGCAGGTCGCGGGTCAGGAACAATCCTGACAGCCACTGAAGTACCAATACGGCGAGCTTAGATCCAGCTCCGGGAACCCAGATCCATGTATAAAGAAAACAGGCCCTGGCGACTCCAGCGCTAGGACAACTGAGTTCTGGCACCCCAAAGCCTAAGGCCACGCGGCGTCTTACCAGGCCGCTTCCTTCAACCCCGGCCCATCTTCGGCCCATCTCATTGCAGGCTGGACATGAGGTGGACGCGCAGGAGATGCGGGACTGGAGCCCACCTCTGGCCGAGCCCACCCTCTGCCGCCCGGGACTTAGCCCAAGGTCTGCCAGTACAGACTCCTCACTGACCTGGCTCGGGCCGGAGCAAAAGAGCGGAAGTCACTGTGACGTCATAACTTCGCGTCGCAGCAACGGCCCGCTGTGTCCTGGCAACAAGAGGCGAGGCGGCAAGAGGATGTGAGAACCCGGAAGTGAGAGGCGGGGGCCCGACTAGACCTGGGGTGGAATGGTTTCTCTATCTCGCTTAGGGTTCTCACTTGGCCTTCAGTAAGGGTCAAGACTCAGGGGCTTGTAGCAAAGCCGGCCTTTGCCTGAGGCCCCTAGGACCTCCGTCCCCCAATGTCGGAGGTAGGAGGCCTCATAACTCCCGAGCGCTGGGGTCATAAAGTGGCTTACTACAGTCTAGCTTGGAGGAGGGTCCAAGGGGGGCCCTTAGACGCCTGGAGGTCTTGATCCCGTAACACTTTCAGGGCCCTGGCCTGTGTTCCGCTGCCTTAGCTAGTGTCGGAGCGTGCCCTTGAACCCGAGTGCCAGTTTCGCAATCTGGTCCTAACAGTCTCCTAGCTGTGACCTCCAGCAAGTTATTTAGCTTCTCAGATCTTCTCCTCACTTTCCTTGACTGTAGGACAGTACCTATGGCAAAGTGTTGTGAATTGTGAGGCCAGACTAACTAGTTCCAATCCCAGTTCTGCTGAACTGGTTGTGACTTTGGACAACCACTTAATAATATTTCCAACCATCTTTTTTTCTTTCTTTTCTTTTTTTTTGTCTAAGATAAGAAGAAGGATTATTTGATGGGCTGTTTTAAATCTTAAGGTATTTGACACAGCCTAAAATATGTGTCAATAAACAGAAATAATAGTATTTTCTACCTTGATCCTCAAAGCTACAGCTGTGAAGGCAGAATAAATGGAAAAGTAGACCTCCAAGCCTTTGCACTATGCAGTTTGCTTCACATCTCTTGCCCAGACAGGCAGGGATATATTGGAAAGGGTTGTACCTCCAAAAAAGATACAGTGACCAGGCTCCTTGTTACCCCAGTTTCCCCTTTCCTTAGTCGTGATCACCGTGAGGATTTGCTACGTTTTTCATTGTTTCTGAACCTGTTTTAGCCCTACTGCTACCATTCATATAGATTTAACCTGATATGTGCCAGATCCTTTACTAGTAACGAAGATTTCTGACGTCCTACCAGCCCTCAGAGACTTCACTGTAGAAGAGTACGGTTTCTTGTTAAAATACAGACTCTGATTCCATAGGTCCGGGGTAGGACCCGAGATTCTGCATTTCTAACAAGCGCCCAAGTGATGCTGATGAAGCTGATTCGAGAACAGCACTGAGTAGTAATAGGTCGAGGATTTTACAAACTGGTGGGTGGTGGGCGGCTCCAGGCAAAAGGCAAAGTCCGGGTTAACTGCCTGAAGACTTGAGGTGGTCTCCGCCCCTTTGCTTGATGAGGTTCCCTCCCAGGAACCCGACACGTGACGGGCGGGACAGCCCTCACCGAGTACAAGAACCCTGTAAGTTCCGTGGCTCCGAAGATGCCGCCCAACCCGCCCTCCCTGCTCCTGCGGCTTGTGCTGCTGGTGCTGCTGTCTCAGGTAAACTGAGGTAGATGGTCGAACTGCCTGTCTGGGTGTGGGGAGAGCGAAACAGATCCGGAAGAGGAGAGATGGTCAACCACCGACAGGGCCAGTTATGTCACTTAAGCACTGGGCAGACACTGGTCCTCACGCCAGACTTCTGCTGAGCAAGGCCTTTCTCCCTTGCAGGCCGAAGGGAGATTCACTCGCTCCTTCGTAGTGGATCGGCAACATGACAGATTCCTCCTGAATGGGGTCCCGTTCCGTTACATTTCTGGCAGCCTGCACTACTTTCGCGTACCTCCAGTACTTTGGGCCGACCGGCTCCTCAAGATGAAATTGAGCGGCCTCAACGCTGTACAGTTGTAAGAAGGGCTCGTGAGAGCTTTGCGGAAGCAAGGTTTACCCTTCCTTAAAAGGGGTCCCAGGAAAACTGGGTTTGAAAAGGGTTTGAGTCCCAGGACTCTTCAGGCAAGGGTGGGAAAGGGCAGCCCAGAACCTCCTTCTAGCTGAGTCGCTAAGTCCTGAGTCTCCTAAGTACCTCTGGGTCCTGTTAACGTCTTCCTTCCTCAGTTATGTGCCCTGGAACTACCATGAGGCAGAGCCTGGGGTCTATAACTTTAATGGCAGCCGGGACCTCATTGCCTTTCTGAATGAGGCAGCTAAAGTGAACCTGTTGGTCATACTGAGACCAGGACCTTACATCTGTGCAGAGTGGGAGATGGTGAGTTAGTTGGAAAAGGGCGGGACCGAAGATGAAGTTCTTGTGGGGTTTCCACTACTCTTTTCTGCCTACTCAACTCCCTCCCTCCTCACCTTTCCCATGCACCCCAAAACAAAACTTATCTGTAGCTCAAGAGGTGCTTTATCCTGTAATCCTAGCACTTGGGAGGCTGAGATAGGAAGATTGTTGTTTAAGTTTGAGGCTAGCCTGACCACAGAGTGAAATCCTGTGTCAAAACAAAAACCCCTACGTGCTTATGTTTTTCTCAAGGGAGGTCTCCCATCTTGGTTGCTTCGAAAACCTAACATTCGTCTGAGAACCTCAGATCCAGGTGAGTTGAGACAAATTTCTGAATGCCTGAACAAGAGGCCATTCCTCATTTGGAAGTGGTACATTTATTCTTTCCTTCGTGTCTAGCAGGATGCTAGAACTGAGAGATCCAGTCCCTGTTCAAAACAGAACTTGTAACAGTGTAGGATGCATAGGAGGCATGTGATGTTGACCTGTAACCCTTACGAGGTAGACACAGGTTCAAGATCACCTTCCAAGAAGTAGCAAGTTGAAATACTTCTGATCACGTCCGCTGCCACCTACTGCTCCAAGCCAGCCCTCACTAGCATCTTGATAGCATGCTCATTCCTCTTCCTCGTTGGCCTTCTCTCCTGTATTTTAAACTGTGAAAACAGTTTAAAAATACATCTTGGGTCAAATCATAAATCTGCTTAAACCTTCCTAATAAACTCTCATCTCATTCAATATGAACCACATACTTCTTAAAACAGTCTCCAAGGCCCTGGGCCTGTCTCCCTGCTGTCTGCCATCCTGTCTTGCTCATTTGGTCCCATACTGTCCAATTGCTGTTCTTCATACTTACTGCTTCAAGTTCGAAGGCATTTGCATGTGGTGTTCCCTCAGCACCTCTGCAGAAATCACCTTCGGTGACACTACCTTGTAAATTTTAAGCATTCCATACTGAACCTATTTTATGCCTCCTTTCCTGCCTTTTTCTTCTTGGCACTAATACACTCTGTAGTTTCTCTTTTTTTTTTCTTTAATGTCTGCCTCCACTAGGAGGAGAGAATCCATAAGACAAAGGTTCTTTCTATCTTCTTCCTTCTATACACCTAGAACAGTACTTGAAGCATAATCAGCTCCCATGAATATTTGTTGAGTGAATAAATGTGGTTTCATATGTGCCTGGATGAGCCTCCTTTATGCAAAACGTAAGAAGAAAAATAATTAAATGACTTAAAATTTGTTAAAATATTTTATTTATATATTGGTGTTTTGTCTGCTTCACACATGTATGTCTGTGTGACAGTGTCAGCTCTTTGAGTTACAGATAGTTGTGAGGTGCCATGTGGGTGCTGAGAATTGAGCCCATGTCTTAACTGCTGAGCCATCTCTCCACCCTCCATTTAAGATATTTTAAAAAGCCTGGCATGGTAGTGCATGCTTGTAATCCCAGCACTCTGGGAGGCAGAGGCAGGCATCTTACTAAGTTTGAGGCCAGCCTGGTCTACAGATCGAGTCCAGGATAGCCAAGGCTACACAAGAGAAACTCTGTCTCGAAAACAACACAAAAAAGAATTTAAAAATGACCAGGAAGTGGTAGCATACATCTTTAATCCCAGCATTTGGGAAGCAGAGGCAGTAGATCTCGGAGTTTCAGGCCAGCCAGGGCTACACAGAGAAACCCCGTCTTTAAAAAAAAATTAAAATGTCCTTTAAAATATCTTTCACTGAATCTACTTAGAAACTGATATTTGCTCAGCTTTGCCCTCAATGGCCAGGGATACTTCAACAATACTGGACCTTGCCATTAGTGCAACAGTTACAGACACAAATGCTCAAGTATGATTTGTCAAGTCTTAAAAGAGACTGTTTAAAGCAGTGTGCAACTGTGTAACCAAAGGATCAATTCTTACATGGAACAGTAGAAGCTTGTTTATTTTGAGACAGGTTCTCTCGTGGGCCAGGATGGCCTCAATCTTGTTTCTAGCAGAGACTGACCTTGAATTTCTGGTCCTCCTGTGGTAGGATTGCATACACTGGGTTCCATGTCTGCTTTAGGGGCTTGCAGGAGAAAGTAAACAACAAAAAGGAAGATTTAGTTGGCACACGCCTTTAATCCCAGCATTCAGAAGGCAGAGGCAGTGGATGTCTGAGTTTGCCACCAGTCTGATTTCCAAGACAGTCAGTCAGGGCTACAAAAGAAGCCTGTCTAAAAAAAGTGAATTAATGCATGAGTGGAAATGCCTGTCACCAGCTTTGATGACCTGAGTTCAATGTTTGGGACCCAAATGGTAGAAGAAAACTGGCTCCTGAAGGTCGTCCTTCATGAATTTGCCACGACACATCCATGTGTTCACATACATGCACACACACACACCACCAGTGTTTACCTTCAACAACACAGAATTTCACAACTTCAGGTTACCCCCACTGCTATTTGCTGATCCAAATCACCCCTCAGCTGAGGTATTTTTTTTTTAAACATTTTTTGTTATTGTTGTTTTTGTTTTTTCAAGACAGGGTTTCTCTGTGTAGCCTTGGCTGTCCTGGACTCACTTTGTAGACCAAAGCTAGCCTCAAACTAGCAGTGAAGCCACCTGCCTCTGCCTCTCAGTGAGCTGGGGTTACAGGCATGCCCTTGTTGCTTTAAAGATAGATTTATTATGTAAACAGTGTTGTGTCTACAGGCCAGAAGAGGGCACCAGATCTCACAGATGGGTGTGAGCCACCATGTGGTTTCTGGGAATTGAACTCAGGACCTCTGGAAGAGCAAACAGTACTTTTAACTCTGAGCCATCTCCAGCCCAGGTTTAGAGACAGGGTTTCTCTGTGTAGCCTTGGCTGTCCGCCTGCCTCTGCTAGGATTACAGGCATATGCCACTGCTGCAGGCTCCAGCTGGCATATCTTAATAGCATACACATGCACATAGATAGATAGATAGATAGATAGATAGATAGATAGATAGATAGATAGATAGATAGAT